AACTAGCATTTCTGGGGTTGGGACCAGGAATTTCAATTTTATTGTGTCTCTGCTAGGTTTTGGTAGCAGGAGGATGCTGGTCTCATAAAATGAGTTAGGGGGAGTTTCCTCCTTTTTTATTGTCTGGAATAGTTTCAGAAGGAATGGTACTAGCTCTTCTTTGTACCTCTGGTAGAATTAGGCTGTGTATCTGTCTGGTCATGGGCTTTTTTTTTTTTTTTTTTAAATTCATAGGCTATTAATTGCTGCCTTGATTTCACAACTTGTTATTGGTCTATTCTGGGACTGGACTTCTTCCTTGGAATTTCAGTTTTAAATAGGCAACCAAAATGATCTGTAGGCACCAGCCTAAGATTTTGTTTGGCAAGGCCTACATATGATTCTGATTTAAAGATTCACCAGCCTAATATATTAACAGCCATACCAACTCTACAGAGGACCTGATTCCCTGCATTCCAGATGCTATTCTCAAACTGAGACTACTTAAATTCCAGTAGGACTTTTGCGTTTCATCTCAGAAAACAGACATCTAAAGTGTTTATCAAGACCTGCAGAGATGGGGTTACACTAACTTCTCAGGTCCATTCTTCTAGCTTTCATCGAATCCAACGTCGGAATTCAGCTGCCTTTACGGTACAGGAAGTGTCTCACAGGATCTAATAATACTGTGCTACAATTTAACCTACTTCCTCCTATTCTGACCTCAGTTATCAGTGCAGACAGCTTTCATGCCTTTAACCCGGTTTGGCCTTAGAATCAGAGTAAAATTAGCTTCATGCATCTTGCAAGTTCTGAGTAAACATTAACTCCTAGTGATTATGCCAAAATAATTAGGTGTTTGAAAGCAACCTGAGTTTTCTTTCCTCCATTTTTTTTTTTTGCTGAAAGCCAGCAACCAACTATTCAAATTTATGTAGAAGACAATAAACCATTTCTCCCCACAAAGTGTTGCTCTAAGCCTCAATTTTTATGTTGAGGTCTTAATCCTATTATCACAGTTGAATACAACACTTAAATATCTCCTTGATAGCTGTTAAGGCACAGTAGAGTCAATTCATGCCCAGCGAGCTTTAATCACAGGTCATCATCATGATCATCAGTGAAGTCTATGTGGGCTATGATGTCCACAGCTAAGCCTACTGGGAAAGCTGTGCGTGGCAGCACTGCCAGCATGCAGTTAGTTCATAACTACTTTCAAGGGGCACTTCTGATCTAATGGCTAAATGAGGATCATCAAAGTATCTTTACATGTAGCATTTCTTGAAAATTCCATTTTTGCAGAGGCCAGTTATTGTATTCACTGGATGCAACTGAGATTGCTTGAGTGAGCTTTTATTGTTATGTTCTGTCTAATGACATTTCAGTCAACAGCAAGCCACAAATAAGACACTGATCTATAAAACTACAATGGATCTGAAAAAATTACCATCACCTAGGGAGGCGGTAGCTGTCATAATGTCCCAGCACAGCGTATTACTCACGTGGTTGTAGAGATGTTTGTGTAAGTAACCTTATTCTGCTACCAGTCATATAAAAGTCTAGCACATAGAATTATGTATAATACATATTTAATACTGCTAAGAAGTGAATGTTCCTAGTTTATGGGTTTACTACAATATACATTTTATCGTTATTTTAAAGTGCTCTCCTTTTATTTATTTAAAAAAAGAACTTTAAACCAGCCTGAGGTATGTCCTTCAGGAGGTATGCAGAAGAAGGCATTGTCATCATAGGAGATGACAGCTCCTTGCTGTCACCCTGAAGACGTTCCAGTAGACAAAATGTGAAGGCAGAAGACAGTGATATTGATGATTATGACACTGTGTAGGCCTAGATGAATGCATGTCTTTGCATCTTAGCTATTAACCAAAAGTTCTAGAAAGTTAAAATAATGTAAATAAGAGAAGAGCTTATAAAATAAGGATGTAAAGAAAAAATGTTTTTGTATAGATGTATAATGTGTTTGTGTTTTAAGCTAAGTGCTATTAAGACAGTCAAAAAACTTAAAAATTGTATAAAGTCATTACAGTAAGCTAAGGTTAATCTTCTATTGAAATATGATTTTAAAATAAATTTGGTATCCCCTAAGTTTATAGTGTTTATAAAGTCTACAGTATTGTACAGTAATGTCCTAGGCCTCCACATTCACTCACTACTCTCACTGACACCCAAAGCAACTACGAGTCTCAAAAGCTCCATGTATGCTAAGGTTCCTACATAGGGGTACCATTTACAAATATTTTCATTCTTTTTTTTTTTTTTTTCCTTTCGGAGACAGAGTTTTGCTCTTGTTGCCCAGGCTGGAATGCAATGGCGTTATCTTGGCTCACTGCAAACTCTGCCTCCTTGGTTCAAGGGATTCTTCTGCCTCAGACTCCCAAGTAGCTGGGATTACAGGCATGTGTCACCATGCCTAGCTAATTTTTGTATTATTAGTAGAGATGGGGTTTCACCATGTTGGCCAGGCTGGTCTCAAGCTCCTTACCTCAGGTAATCCACCTGCCTCAGCTTTCCAAAGTGTTGGGATTACAGGCATGAGCCATTGCATCCAGTCTAAAAATCTTTTTTACAGTATTTTTACCTTACATTTTCTTTGTTTAAATACACAAATAGTCACCACTGGGTTATGTTGCCAGCAGCATTCAATATAGTAACTTATTGTACAGGATTGTAGCCTATGAGCAATAGGCTGTATACCAGACTTAAGTGTATACCAGACTATACTATCTAGGTTTGCTATATTCCATGATGTTTGCACAATAACAAAATCACCTAAGAACGCATTTCTCCGTAAGCGTCACTGTCGGCAAGTGATGCATGACTGTATTATTGTCAACCGTTTAGGTTATATTGGTGGAGAGTGAATTAATGGCTTATCAACAGGTCGAGCTTATTTAACAGGGCCGACGTAATTTGCTGTAATAACAAATTGTGGATTATTTGCACAATTCGTGACCCATTACATAACTCATAATCAAAAACAAATAATTAAAGCAGGGCCATGCACAAATATCACATGGCAAAATAATCAGAATCATACAACAATAAAAAGTAGGCTGGAGTGATGAAAGATTTCTGATTCATAAAAACTGATATAACTGAGAATTCTTCATGTTGCCCCAGCTGCTAGTTCTCATTTGCCTTGTTTTCTCTTCTAAAACTCACTCTGAAGCCTGAAGTCCTAACTTAGAAACTATAGAAAGTGTTTTAAAGGACACTGCATAATTTTAAAAGAGCTACCGCAATCAAGAGAAGAGCAGGAAAGAGGCTGCTGGCCATTTGAGAAAAGAAGGTAACCTCTGATCCAGTGCGAATTTTCCCAACATTGAAAATGTTCTCCTGAATGCTTGGAGCACAAAAAAAGAAAATATAACCTAATCAAGAGGCAAGGAAACAAACCAAATCTTTCTGTCCTATCAAACACATGACCAAGATGCTGGAGTGTGCACATGGAATAAAAGGCCGTATGGCTCTTGAGGGTAGAGGAGGATGAGAGTACAGGGATGTTTTGTTTTTCTGGCACAATGACTTAAAAAAACGAATATTTGAATATCTGAAGATTTTAGGAAGGCCATGCAGATACTCAGACTGCCACAGGCCTCACTGCTCCACATTGTCTTATGTAAAGCTTCTTCTTATTTTTGTGATCCCTTTAGCCAATTGAGGTTGGGGGTCCTCTTACAGGTTACTATAGAATGTGACAGGGCAGAATGTTAGAGCTGGTAGGTCCAGTGCAATTGCCCCAATTAAGGCTCATACAACCAAAACCAAGAGAGGTAACAGGGCTGTGTTATCAGCTCCCATTAAGTAAATCAATAGAAACCCCTGATGGTGAAATTTGGGCTGCCTAGGTACCCAATAATCTTTTGTTATATGGTACAACTGCAAGATTTTAGTGGTACATTTTAATCTTATGCTAAGTTAAAACTGGCCTAGAAAAAATAATTATGGTCTGGTTATCAACAATTCATTAACTGGCTTGACTAAGAATCTTTGCTGCTGGAGAACACTAGAAATATCCAGTTCTATAAGTTTTTGCTTGATATATACCACAATATCCAAATACATGTGCATGTGCACATGCATGCACGCATACACACACACACACACACACACACACACACACACCCACACCCACACCCCCACACACCCACATACACTTCTCCTTTACCTTCATCAAGAATTCACAAAGAATCTTTAAGAATTCTGGAATTTTACGATAGCATTCAGTGTACCATTCCTTCAAAAACAAGCAACTCTCTGAAAATACATTTCAATCTTCATATTAGCTCTAGTATTAATTTAGACTGAAGGATAAGATAATATATATATGTACACACAATTACAGAGTTTTCAGGCTTACAAAACCAAGAGTCTTGAGAAATGTACTTAATCTCCGTAATCTTGCTTTATAGATGAAGATTCTTATCACAGATCAGTGTGTTAGGACCTATTTGGTATGCTGGAAAGCTTATCAGTTTAGTATATTCTAGGAACTGAAAAACCAGAAAGACAAACACTGCATGATCTCACTTATGTGTGAAATCTAAAAAAGTCAAACTCAGTGGAGTAGAGAATAGAATGGTGATTACCAGTGGATGGCAATAGAAAGGGGAGATGTTGATCAGTTTTAGCTAGACAGAAGGAATAAGCTTCAGTGATCTGTTACACAGAATGGTGATTATAATTAATAATAATGCATAATAAATTAATATATACAATTACTATCAATAAAAATAAAGTAAAAATTAAAAAAAACAGAAATACATAATCTCAACAAGAAATATTAAATAAATGTAAAATCAACACTTTTTAAAAGTGTAATTACTATATTGCTTGTACAAACACTTTTAAGTTGGCGGTTCATTATATATTTTTATATTATATTTGAGTCATATTTAAAGGGAAAAGCACTGATGAAGTTAACTTTCAAGAATATGGTCACAAAAAGAGAAGAGCAGTTCTTGAAATTATTGTCAAGAATAAACACAGTGAATTACCTCATATTCCTGGGAAAACTTCAAATTGTCATTTGCTTTCAATCTTTCAATGTGGTCTGCAAGTTCCAAGATAGGTATTGGAGGATGGCTAGCCATACCTATTAAAAAGGAAAGAAGAAATGCATTTGAAAACAAATGAAAATGATGCTAACTATCCGAAAATATAGAGAATACTATAGTTAGAAATGGCCTGAAAATATGTGAGTAGTAAAGATGTTTAGGTGAGGAAGCAGGCAAATAGTTTGGTTACTCAAAGCAGGACATGCTCTGGAAAGATGAATTTTGTAGCCAAATGAAAAGTCACCAAGCATAATCTCCAAACTAACACCCCTAGTGTAAAAGAAAGCGTTATTGTGCTAAGAATCAATGAGGTTAGCTAGCGGAGAAAACTGACAGGCTTGATGTCAACTTCTGCTTTGAGTAATGACTTTTATGCCATTTCAAACTCCTTCTCCTGCACTGTGTGAAATGGAAATTGTGTGGAATTAAATGGTGTCAAGTGAACTAAGAAAACAGACACTGAGAAAGGCCTAAAAGGGAAAGAGTAGTAGCTTGATAGTAAACATAAAATGACTTATGCATAATCAAGAAAAACTAACTTGAAGAATGAAGGTTACCAGGGTAACCGGAATCATCTGAACCTGCAAAGGAAATGATGGTGTAAATAAAATAAAATAGAACAAATTCTTTATGGAAAAAAATGAAATGGAAAGCCTGATACACTTTTTAAAAAGTCTAATCAAAATGCTGCAAGTTTGTTTAGGATTCACTATACATCGTGACTAGATTGAGATCGCTAATATTTCACACACCTATAGGTGACTGACATTCACATGCAAACACACAGAGAATGACATGCACCACAGCTCATTGACGAGAATCACTGACGGCACAATCAGACACCAAAGTGAGCCTCAAAAATGTTTCCACTAGTAGCAGATTGTAGAGGTTGGGGTTGCAGCCTTCTCCTGGACACTTACAAATGGCCACACTAACAGCTTCATGATATTTTGCCCCACGTCCCCATTATTCAACCCCCAGCAAACCTACAATCTACTTCAGGTGTAAACATCTTTGTCCATGGATGAGAAATGAATTCAGGGAAGTGAGCAAATGGTGAAAAGAAAAGAGGGAAAGTGGGTGAAGAAGGAAGGAAAGCAGAGACAGGGGCTGACACATTCTAGTTCATTCAGCCAGTGGAAGACATATTAATTTCATAGATTCCGTGAAAAATAATCCACTATTAATTCTGGCGAATCCTGTGTCTTTCTGATGTTTTCTCTGTTTTCATAGGATTTGTCTTTTATTGCTTTCCTTTTAATTTTACAGAAGTAATATGAAAGCGCATGGCTGACTCTTATCTTACAGACACAAATTCCAGCTGGCTAGAAAAACCTGAACTAGCATGTCCCCAGGGAAGCCACTGAAGCAGAAAAAGAATGAGGGAGGAGCTCAAACTGGAAGCCATGTTGACATTCTGCTGTCACTGTGGATCTTTGGAGGGAGCCTGTAGAATGATGGCCGCTGAGTCAACATGACATGTGACTACTTTAAGGGCATTTTAGGAATTATACCATTGTTAAAAGTCACCCAGTAAGTTCTTTTATCTCAAATGCCAAATTATCAATGGTTCTGGTAAGTTATGTAAAAAACTACCCTGCTTTTTGAAGACTATCACTTTAGCAACTGTTGTGAATTGCAGTGGTTTAGTTTTTATGGCTATGAAGGTCTGCTTCCAGTCAGCTAAAATTTTAGTGGCGATCCAATAAAACTGAATTGCTTGGAAGGAGAAATTCTTTGTTGGTGATATAATAATGCCTTTGGAACAAAATTTTGGAACCCTTTCTGAAGCTTTTCTGTATTAATGGTAGAACTGAAATAATTTACATTTTGTGGAGGGACTGAGTGGGTGACAGTGATCTGTTATTATATGATCTTATCCAGATGAGGCACCCCCAATGAAAATAATGGAACTGCAAAGGGATAGGCGACTTTAAGCTGATCTGGAAATGGAAATGGACTGATATGGACATCGTTACAGTGCTTTAACAGAGAAAATAATAGAGACAAAGATGTTTAGACCTTTTCGAGCGAATCGTGGGAGAGAGTTATTATCATATATGGACTGAGTGGTGGTTTGGCTAGAGAGGGAGGACACAGAGCCAATCAGGGAGGCGTAGGGGACTGAATTACTGCTCAAAGCTGCAAAAAGTAAAGCCAGTTGGAGATGGGAAAAGTATTAGTATAACAGCAGTAGAAGACCATAATAATAACCAAAGATGCAATCAACATATTTACTTGTGGCATGCACTGGCATATGGTCTGGAAGTATTACATTGGAAGCTTATTAAAGAAAAATTCAAGCAGACCTACATTGACTCATTATATTCCACATCAGAATATATATACATACATCTTGCACATGCAAGATACCATAACATTAAAGAATCGCTACATAAAACTTATTGTTGCATACCACATTACACTCAATTTCTAGGACAAGTAAAAATGGCAGATGGATGTTTCACAGAAAAGGGAGGAGAATTTGTGTGAATCCAATGGTACAGGAGAAGGAATCCTGGCCTGGAATACTGGACATGGTTTCTATTTCTGGTTTTGACATCTACTAATAGGAACAAATCACCATTTGTCAAGCACCTTGATTTCTTTAACTCTTAAAATAAGTGTATAGAACTAGATAAATTCAAGAGCCATTCTCTTCTTTTTACCTTTCATCCTTCCCACATATAGACAGAACTTCTGAACGGAGAGGATCAATTGAACATGGTTCATATGCAAGGCTTCTGAAAGTTACTGTACCTTTTCTTTGAGGGAGGGGAGAGTACTTACTTTTTACAAATGGAAAACTAGTACACAGTTGAATTGTCTACTTTTTGAACTATTTAAGTTTGTTGCTATTTTCTTTCATTAGCCAAAATGTATACACAGTCTGTTATGATGTTACATCATATATCGGAAAAGACTGACTGGCCGTATAAAAATAATCCTCAACAAGAAAAATCTTCTAAGTTGAAACTGTTTAGCTCGTATCAGAAAACAATTACCAAGGATCTACTTCAAAATATTGTTACACAATTCTGCGGAAACATCTCCACTGCCCAATAGTGAAAAAAAAACGTTATATGACATAAACAAGTATGTTGTATTTTGAATGAAAACGCAGACACTAAGAAAACTATGAAGTTGACCTCACTGTGGTATCTTTTTAATGTTTTGTCTGGCAACCTGACCATTGCTCACAGTCTATAAACCAAAGTCTTTACAACACCAGAGTTTTCACGTTTGAATTATTTGATAAGCTTTAAAGTTCTTTTTCTTTTTTTTTTTTTTTTTGCAGGCTGTACACCAGACCAATTAATTCAGACCTCTGAATGTCAGAGCTATATACTGATATTTTTAAAGTTCCCCAGCACTGGCTGTTAGTCCTATGGGACTTCATGATGGTGGGGGGGGGGGCGGTCTGTAACTCCATTTATGACTTTTTTTTCTATTTAGAAATCATATCAGGATGTATGAGAATGAGATGAGCTTATCTCTTGGTGATATTCTTGAATCCCCTCTAACACCCTGCTAGCAAGCTTTAGTACTTTAACTATTATTAGCAGCACAGAACTTGAAGCACAGCTAACAGTGAGGACTTGCCAGTGTCATGACCTCATCAGTTCAAAGCTACAAATGTACAACACAAATGCATTTTAAAGGCACACCTCAAATCTGAGCAGAGTTTTCATTTTGAAGCTATGATCTCCACAATATAGAGTCAACATGAAAAGTGACAGAGGCAGTCACTGAAATCCGCCTTAGGTTGGAGGAAAAAACAGGATGGCTCCCTTGAATAGGGTATATATTTGTGACACTAATGTCATGGTAACTTCCTTATAAGAAGTAAACTTTAAAATCCTGGCATTGTAACCTAAAAGGCACCTTAGAGATGACTTAGTCTAGCACTTTCATTTTATACAAGAGGACTCAAATCCAGAAAAGTTAGATGACTTGTAAACATAAGCCCAGACAGTAAATAACATCTGAACATGCAGCTTAGGCATCTTTCTACTGTACTATTTCTAGAATACCATTTGTGACCTTCTAAATAAAGCAGGGGCAAAGTCTCCACGGATGGTAGGGGCCAGGTTGTTAAGATAAATGACTGAAGATGGCTAAGTATTACATAGTCAACATTTTCACACGCACACAAAATACGCTCATTCCCATTTCCTCATGATGAGCAGGTTTCCAGAGCTGGCTTTTGTTTCTCTACTTTGAACAGAGACTCCAGAAAGAACAGTAATTCTTTACTATGTGAAAAATAGCTATAAGCATGACATAAATGGCAACTAACGCTCAGTCTCAATGTCAGTCATCTTTAGGGCTGGTGTGCACGTGGGGGACTTCTGAAAAGGGTAAAACTATTGAGCTCCAGGACTTGCTATGACAATTGGGAATGCAGGGCCAATCAGATCAGACTTTTTAGGTTTTCAATAGCAATTAAATCCAGATTATCATGGGATATTTCCTCAGTTTCAATGTTGACTCAAAATTTTGTTAAAATTTAGTCAGTGTCAAAAGATAAGCACTTTTGCAAACTACATTTGATTAAATAAATTATGGCCTCTGTTTTAAAAGACCAAAATCCTCTTTCGTCCATTTGTGTGTGTGTGTGTGTGTGTGTGTGTGTGTGCGCACGCGCGTGCGCACATGAATTAGAATCAAGGACTGTTGTGAATGACAGATTGCATGCTTGTATCCACAAGGCAATGGACTAGATACTGAGCTTTGTGCTGAGGATGTAAAAGTGTGCTTCTCGTACAGTTCAACCTATGCGTTCGTCTACCTCCCCGTCTACCTAATCTGATTTTCCAATAATTCTACCAATCAGAAAAATGAAGCCCAGAGGAGTTAAATAATTCAATCAAGGTCATCATTATCAACAAAACTGTAGCTACAGGAGGAATTTGATCCCATACCTTGCCCACTCTCAATTTAGCACATTTCTCATTATGCCATGCTGTCTCTCAAATCATTTAACATCCCTGGATAAGTGGTGACATGTACATAAAGCTACACCTTTAAGACTGTTTAGGCTCTGTATGCAGCAAGACAGAGATCATAAACCATCCTTGGTTTGAGAAAAAGTGTCAATATAGTGACTTCACCTAGGATATCTGTTTCAATGGTGGAGAACAGGAAAAGGTGATGCCAAAATGTATCTGTATTTTCCAGTTACTTCTTGCCAAAATATCTTTCCATGAAAACACAAACTAAAGGTATTAATTTAAAATGTTAAAAACTGAAATACTATTTGGTAGAATGTTTTTTTAGAAACTAATTTATGGTATTTTTGCTTTTCAAATGTCCTGCTCTGTTTTATTAAGTCAGTAAGGCTACTGAATGCTTCAAATGACTTTATTATCCATAGAAAAATTTTTATCAAACATTTGCTCTGTTTTCATATTTTAAGCCTTGCACTGAATGCAGTAGGCACTATAGAACTATTCTACTAAGTAGAATTTTTTAAGTCATTAATAATGGTGGTACATCTTTTAGACAACTTTTTTCTGTCACTGTATACGTGTGTCTGTAATGACTCAGTAACAGTCTCTTCATGATTTTCCTTACTGAC